CACAATGGATTACGTATCTCAGTGCTGATATCCCGAATCCTTCCGGTTTTAAACAAACCGTATATATCCAAGGGCAAGTTTTTGTTATCACATACGATGTATCTTTCAAGTCTAATTTGTTCGCTCCTTATATGGTGATTTCCTCGCATTATCTCCGCGTAGCGGGTTACATTCCTCCCTCTTCCTGTCTGTATCTCGATCTAAACCGTCCGTACCACGCGATTCCGTTCACGAGCACACATCGTATCGGTACAACGTTACGGCTATTTGACACAAATATATAATATGTATACTTAATTCTTGCACGTTAAGAGTAAGAGGACAACAACAATCATGATTACGATAGTAGGTAGAACAAGCGACAACTCTATTCATTAACACGATACTTGGTACTTGACGCGTGGTTCTTCTCGTCGATATATCTCGCGGTCGATATAGCGAGGAAACGAAAGAGAAAAGAGGGTCCGATCGACGGGACCGTAGGAACATAAGTTACAAGTTAGCGCTCGGGTCTACGACTATTATCGACTATCAGCTAGGAATCGATATCCTTCAAGGTACTTCTTGCATTCTCAACATCGTGCGGTATGCTCGTGCGCATCGCTCCGAGCGGAGAAGGATTCCCTCAGCTCGGCGCGGGGTTCGAACGTTTAGGAACAAAAGTAGGACGCGGTGTATCCATCGTTACTCGATTATGATTCTTGGTGGATCGTTACATACGGGTCGGGTTAAAATCGCCCCCGATGACGCTCAGAGCGAGTGAATTATCGCATCCGCGAACACTGAGCGAATCGAAGAACGGTGCCGCACGAAGAAAAGAGATCGGCTGAATCAACGAACGAACGACGAATCGGAGGCGTTTTGGCCGAAGGAAACGGATGACCAGAAATCCCATTTCCTTTGGCCAAAACGCGTTTGGTTCGCGCGTTTGTTGTCACATTAAAATCCAACCGATCTTTTTTATCCACGCATGAGCGACCCCGATCGAACGACATTCGCGAAGTTTTTCAAGTTAACGCGCGAAGACGATCGGTTAGCATAGCGCACGCGAAAGGTGATGTGATGGGAGTAAAGCAATCGGTTGTATTCTCGTAAGTTCGACGATTCACCCCGCCGTCCGCAGGATTAGAGACACCCTTTTTCCGAACGCACACATACACTCACACACGCGGAGAATCGCGATGGTTACCCCCAGACGATCTAAAATTTAAACCTCCATTCACCACCTCCATTACTTCCTACAGTTTCACCTTGCTCGTACAGAATGCGGCTCCCATAATCGAGATCTTCTCCGATTTCCGTCTCCTTATCCATCGGACACCCGGCGTCCCGTCAAACGAAGGACCTCTGGTCCTTTCATGCCAGTCTCAGCCGGCTCAGAGCGCGTCTTTCGCACGAACCAGTTTTCGCGATACGACACCGGTCCGTCGAAAAATTTGCAGCCGGTCATTGGTCGACCCCCACCTTCTCTTCGAGACCTTACGCAATCGCTCAATGCTCGCCTGATTTATATCCGCGTTGTTGCATGCAAATTCGTTATCCTGACAGCCGAAGCTCAAGGCCATCCGAACTCATTGTTCCGTGGCGAGTCAGGTCGGTTACGTTTTCCGGGATCACCTACACTTCGCAGTTCAATTCGTCCGCTACAACCGAGGAGCATGAATGTTCCTCTGTGTGTGCATGTATAGGTCTTCCCTCGGGATACAACGGTTGGGGAGAAGTAGGAAAAATAGAGCAGAACAACGGTTGGGGGTGTCTTTTCATTCTCTTTTGCATTTTGCAGGAATATCGTTTTCAAAATGTCTACTCGCCCAAATTACCCTCGTTTATCTTTCGCCGGTTCCGCGTCACACGAGTCTCCAAAGCGAGACAAGAGAAGCGAATGGAAGTGACGCATTACCGCGCTGCCAACTTCTTCTCAAGCTTCTTCATCTCGCAGTTTCCGCATTGTTTTTCGTACTCGACATGTATACATGAAAAGGCAAATATTTTTTAGGAATTTTTATTTTATTACGTTCTCGATTTTTGCTCCTATTACGAGTTTATCTTCTCTCGAGGAGATTCCGATCGAGCACTTCTCTTGTGACCAATTTCGTGCGGCATCCCTGCCGCGTTGCATTTTCCCCGCATATTTCACGAAACTGGAGCAGGTCTACGATTTTCACTTATTCTTTTGTTGATCTATTCGGCTGCTATGCCCTGATTTCTTTTCCCGTGTCTTTCCTTCCTTTCCTCGTTTTCCCACACGCCGGTCGTCTTGTTTGCGTAAAAAATCGCCTTTCTTCGTTCGCTCGACATGAAAGCGCCGTCGAAAGTGTGTTCGATTATTTCTATGCGATGACGTATTTCCTTTTGTTCTTAAGATAGTTGGGAAAAAGAAAAAAGAACATAACGTCGTTGCTTTTTAATTGAACCAATCAATTTCCAGTTCCAAATCGTTACTTTTACGGTTTCCTGACCTCAAAGTAGCGATATCAAACCGATTGATGTGCATTATCGGGCTGCGCGAGTACGAATCGATGACTCCATTGATAGACGGCGAGAGAGGTCGGTAGGCGACCCCGAAAAAAAGACAGATCTCATGCGGAATTCCCGAGTTTATTGTACATAGAGAAAGAGAGAGAAAAGTGTATCAACCCTCCCTTTTTGGGTAGAAAGAGAGAGAGAGGATCGCATAAGAAGCGAATTCACAAGCGAGAGCGTCGGTGTCTTCCTCCTGTTTTCTTCCCTTTTTCTCTCCTTTCTTCCTCCCCTCTTTGCCTCTCGATGACAGGCGAACGAGCGTACAGTGGTGCCATGACAGAGAGCGCTTAACGAATTTGCTTGTGGCCAGTTCGCGACAATCGGCAAGACGAGAACCGGTCCGCTCATCTCGCGCGACAGTACGGCAGACACGTCGGACCTGTAGAGTGACTTGGTCGCGTAGAGAGAGGCGTCGCGATTAATCGAGAGTGGTTCTCCGCGCCCGCCCTTTGTGCCCGAACATGCCCAAACCTTTCCCTCGTCACGCAGCCCAATCGCCAGAGACGTTCATCGTGCAATGCAACCGGAAAGGAAAGGTCTTACCCAGTAAACACCGACAAAGATTACAATAATGTTATAGTTTCCCACTCAACAATATAACTTATGTACAAGTTACATTACACTTATATGATTGAGAGATTATAATATTGATGTATTGTCGATGTTTTTTGACGTTGGTGTAATTTCGTCGAATCCGCGTAAAGAGACGGATCGTGCTCTGTTGGCTTGCCTCGGCGATGATCGCTAATTGATAAGATGTACCTTCGTCGCGAAAACGGAAATTGAATTCGTCGAGGAGAAGATGGGGCTCGAGGGTGACCAATGACCGGCTGCAAATTTTTCGACGGACCGGTGTATCGTCGCGAAAACTGGTTCGTGCGAAAGACGCGCTCTGAGCCGACTGGAATGAAAGGACCAGAGGTTCTTCTTTGAGGGGATCTTTGATGGGGCGCAGGGTGTACGATGGATAAGGAGACGGAAATCGGAGAAGATCTCGATTATGCGAGCCACATTCTGTATGAGCAAGATGAAACTGTAGGAGGTAACGGAGGTGAGGACGGTCGGTTTAGATCGATTCGTCTAATCATCGCGATTCTCCGCTGTGCGCGCGCATGTTCAGAAAAAGGGTGTCTTCAATCCTGCGGACGGCGGGGATGTGGGAAAATCGTCAAACTTACGAGAATACAACTGATTGCTTTACTTCCATTACATCATTTTTCGCGTGCGCTGTCTGACCAATCGTTCCTGCGCGTTAAGAAGCTTCGCGAATGTCGTTTGATTGTCGTTGGGATTTTCGTCACGTACCTAAATCCTAAATACTAAATCCTAATTCCTAAACGATCAACACACACACACACACACACACATATACATATATATACATATAAATATATATATATGTATATATATGTATGTATATATATGTATATATATATATATATATATATATTTATTTATAACGCAATGTCTCGTGCACGCCGAGATTATTTCTCGCTGGTACACGGAACATCTCGAACGCGAACGTTACGACGACGACGACGGCGACACTCGACGGGCAGAATCACTATACGCCGATTGATTGCGAAAGCGCGCGTTCGATCAAAGTAAGGTCCGCATCTCAGTTTCAACAAAACGATTAAATAAAGTAACGACATATAACGAGAATATAACGTATTATAAACGTTTAGCACAAAAAAAAAAAAAAAGAAAAACATGAACTCCCGATATAGCGACAGTGGATCGACGGACCGTCGTCACTCCTCCCCGCTATTTTAACTGTCAGAGGAACTTGTATACCAAATATATTCAACAACGCAAAAGCATCTTTTTGCGCACGACGGGGCGAACTCCGAGAGGAAATGTTCGCGTGTACATCGTTCTTTATTATCTTCCCTTTCCTAGAACGTCGAATCTATAATCACCCCTATGCAAATGTGCGTCAACGGCGCAGACGTTTATTTCTTGTATCATACGTCTGATGAGAATAAAAACCATAGTTGTCTCTAGAGAATTTTGTAAAAAAGAAAAAATTCATTTTGTAAAAAAGAAGAAAAAACATGAAGATACAAATTCGTCTGTACCGTGACGCATATACGCACATATATATATACATGTATAAACATATACGCGTGGTTATTATAGATTCGAAATTCCAACAGATGCGGATATGATGAGATACACTTGCCCGTCCGTTTCACCGTCACGAGTCGCGCTTCTCGGCTCGCACTGAATCATCTGAACATCCAAACACCGTTTCAGAGTCTAAGTAAACAGTCAACAGTAAATATGTCCCTGAATTTATATTTGTCTCTCCCTTTAAATTACACACTCTATAGGTTATATATCTATAGACTTGTCGCTTGGTATTAGTGTATCCGCGCGTTCGTACGGTACAATAATATATATATATATATATATGTAGTATATATATATATATATATATATATATTATAATTATATATTTATAAAAAGCATCTTAACAATATAATGACCGTGAATCGATATAGAGACCTATCGGTGAATCAGTGCGAGCGGACGCATGGCTGATCCAGTTTGACTCGAGGTAGAAATTGGAGCGTACGACAATCGGTATGTCACGCTTTGACGCTCGCATTCTTCTTCGTCAGCCGACAAGACTCGCGACAATGCTCGTTTCGAGCAGAAGGATGCCGCCCGACATCGGGGACAAGAGGGTACTTTTCTCTACGTACCAATAAGATCCCACTAGGACGCGAGATCGTCCTTGGAGCTGCCGGGCGCGTTCATGTCCTGACGACGGCTGCCTTTGCGCCGTAGCTGTCGTGAGAACAGACCGCTGGACCTGGTAGCGGAGATGTCACGCGTTTCATCGTCCTCTTTGACAGCATCACTGCTGGGATTGCTCTGAGTAGTTGAGGAGCCGCTGTTGTTGTTGCTGCTGCTGCTGGAAGCCGTGTTTAATCGGCGAGCGGACATAGACAAGTCCTCGGGCTCCGTTTGCTCGGGCAGATTGACGGGAATCAGATTGATCCCGGATAGATCGAGCGGTACCGAGGGCTGACCCACCGTTAGACTCGGCGACTTCTGCTGGCTCTCTCCCTTGACTTTTTTGGCGCTGTGCGCGGTACTGTCTGTGTCATCCGATTGCGTGTCGGTCTCGATAATATCCTCCGGATCCTCGCTCGTGTTCGACTGCGAGTCAGCTTGCGGTCGTGATTCAGCTTGAGACGGGTGGCCTGTGCCGCACTTGTGATGCATCAGGTGATGTCGCCTTCTGAATCGTACCTGGCAAGTACTACATTCAAAAGGTTTCAAGCCCCTGTGTATCAGCGCGTGCGCCTTCAGTTGGTTCGAGTCGCTGAACTTGGCCCCGCACACTTCGCAAGTGTACGGACGCTCGCCAGTGTGCACTCGCAGATGACGACGGAGATTCGCTACTTGAACGAACTGTCGGTCGCAGTGGTTGCAATGGTACGGTTTTTCACCCGTGTGAAGTCGCATGTGTGTCTTCAGATGATGGTCCCGGGTAAATCTATATGATAATAATAATAATAATATTATGTAACAATATATAGTGTAAAAACATAGTGCAAGTATAGTGTGAAGGCAATCATCTGATAATTGATCGTCCAAATTCATGATATTTGAAATACATCTCTGAATAAAACAATTTTTTATCATCGACAGTTATAATAATATAATGAAATAAAACATTATATACGTTATATATAATATGATAAAATAAATCAAGGAGGGATGGAACGGCCGATAAAACGCTGATCGCGGCAATTGTAGCGACATACTATTTTTAATTTGGTGTAATGACGCGGTGAATCTTCGTTCCGCGTTGAACGAGTCCCAATCGTTTTCTCTTCCCAAATATTACAATAAAAACAATAATAATGATAAATTAATCGCGAGATATCTCACCTCTTATGGCATTCCTGACACTCGAACGGCTTCTCGCCGGTGTGCGTGCGTTCATGATTCTGCAGCACGTGTTTGTAACCGAACGATCGCGAGCACACTCCACAGGTGAACACCTTGTCTTTGCTGTCCCTTCCCGCCTCAGGGCTGATCGTAGGAACTGGACTGGCCGAGGTCGCGGCCTCTGCAGGAGGTGGTGGCGCTGTGTCCGTTTTCGATTTAGCGGATTTCCTCTTGGTGGTCTGATTCTTTTTGCCAGTCCTGTCGCTCTCGTTCACCATATTGTTATTGTTGGTGTTTTTGTTGTTATTGTTGCTGTTACTAGTAATAGTACTGGGTGGATTGTGCTGAGTGCTGCTCCTCGTCCCTACGGTCGGCGATGCCTGCGGTGTCGATGGGTGCTGAAGGGTGGTAGGCGACGAGGGTGATGACGGCACCCAATTAGCGAAGATGTGAGAATGATGATGATAGAGCGACGGATTAGTGTGTAGCGATACCGGTAAACCTGCAGCCATAAACGCTGCAGTTCGACTGGCGACGAGTAGCTGCTGCTGGGTCAGCAATAAGCTCGTAGGTGAAGGTGAGCCAATTGCAGGGAATAACGTTTGAGACGCTTTCTTGCCTTTGTTTATGAGCGGTTTCTTCTCCGAGTCCGGCTTCATAGTGAGAGGCTGGCCACTTAGAAGACCTGTATTCAACAAAAGTACATTTTGTAGTTACGGTCCCTTTACTCTGCCCCGCCCCCGCTTTCCTGCGAAAAAGATCTGCTATAAAAGTACTAACCCAAACACTGTCCCATTATAGTGTTGGATAAAACACGCTGAAATATTATCAGTTATATAGTCAGTTACGAGGACGGAATATCGGCAGATCAAACGGCGAATTTTATGAGAATTTCTCATCGCGCTTCTTTACCCTATTCGTCTCCCCCCTCCCCCCTTCTCGCTCTTTTCCTCTGTTTCTCTCTTCCCTACCACGTGCCCTCCTCCCACACACGTCGCTCACACGTGAGATTCCCTGGATCCTCCTCCATTCACTCACACTCTCGTACACGAGAGTTCATTCATAAGACTTGGCTATCTCCACCTACGCGTTCTCCGGCGTACCGCCTCTTCGACTTGAGGCCAACGACTTTATCGGCGCGCAAGCCCTCGAAGAAAATCGACGTCGCGTTGAAAATCAACGGGGAGGCGGCAGTCATTAACGCGTGACTTGGTTCTTTCCGATTTGTCGCGCGCGACCACGAGATTCGATTACGATTCACTTTATATTCGGTAGCTTGGACGTTTCCAAATTTTACCGTTTCACGTTACGTATGCGAGCCAATTTGAACGAAAATCGAAACACGGATTGCTTCAAGTTCTCTAATTTCTTTTCTTTTTTCTTACGAAAACTGTCTACACGGCGTATCAACATGCTCATTCCTGCGATCTCAAGATATTCGATGCGATTACACTGAAATCTGAGAAATTATAATATGTGTCTGAAGCAAACTAGGTGGAGGCGTTTCCGACGAGGTGGAATCGGGCGTAAGGGAACGATGACCGACACTTGGCCGCTGTTCGCTAATTAACGGACTATTTAAAGAGGAGACAGCGTCGTTGAATCAATAAGGGCGCGCGCCACGACGTTTCTTCCGCCTTGCTTTTTCCCCCTTTCTTCCCTCCGCCCGAAAATTCCCTCAACGGCGACCAGGATCCTCACAGCCTACTATCGTCGTTTCTTGGCAACGCGACGCGAAGAGCACCGCCCCTGCTGCCTGTGTCTACCCTATAATTGGGCGCAACCCTTGTAGTTCTACCTCGAGCCTTCCACCTTGTAGTCTTATCTTACGGCAGCTCTATCGGCAACTAGACCGCCCTGGTTTAAAGTGCACTTATGTTCGAGCGCTCGGAGAGTGGCTAGACTGTTCAAAACTGGACGTCATACTGTGAAGGGTAAAAGTTGAGTGAAAAGGGTTTACGAATAAGTTCGAGATACATCTCACTGACTGATACTTAGCGGTGACTATACGGTAGATTTCGTAATGATAAAGATGCGGTTTGATCTGACCGGTCAAAGGGCACAGGGACAAGGATTTTACCTGTTGTTTCGATACAAGCTTCGCTTTATTAAAGGAAATTTCGTATATCGTACATAAACACATTACAGTGTATCGCTTCGCTCTAAGCTGGTTCATTCATAATCATCTTACATTTAAAACCAACTTAGGTTCATCTTCGAATGTAGTCAATAAAACGATCCGTACAACACCTGAAGATGAACTCAGGACGATCTTAAGTATAAGATCTGACTATGAATACCGGCCTAAGTATTGCCGCAACTGTTGCAATACAATATACGAAATCACGAGTCGATTGCGAGGAGCGGGAAGATCGGCTCGAGAAAAGCGCGTTTACGAAGAAGATACACGAGAGGCGTGCCGAAGCAATCGCGGCGATTATTTTTGGATACGCGCATCGCGAGTCTCTCGCGAAACCTCTCGGCGAATCTCATTCTCCCGACTATTCCCCTTGCGTATCCTCAGGCGGCCGATTTCGCTACTCTCCCTGGGTCTTATCGATGTTTACAATGTGTCACAACGTACATGCGTTGTGTCGCCGCGAGCGCTTTTAGACCCTGGCGAGGCGCCAGTAGTCGCGCTGCTCTTAAGAAACTACGAAATCGTTCTCTTCTCGCCTTCCATCTCTCTCTCTCTCTCTCTTTATATACATATATATTTGTGCATTTGCACTTTACACACACACACACAGTTCCCCCCTCTCATTTTTTCACGGTTATTCCTCAAAGCGCCGACGCACCACTTACGTTTTCGCTTTCACTGGAGGCCAATATCCGAAAGATTATTGGCCAAGAATATGAAAGAGCAAAAAGAAGAAGACATCAATGGAAGTCGGTTGGTATCAGAATTCCTCCTCCTCGATTACTTTCTCCATTTTGTCAGAAATAATAACGGTCAGAGAGACACGAGCGATCGTAAATCCGAGCCACACAGTTGTTTGCGAGCGAAACGTACTTATTCGTGTCGCGACTGTACCTCGAGATTCGGTAATCATGCAGAAGATGCGAGAGCAGGCTGAAAATAAGACGAAAGAGAGCAGAAAGAACAGTTTTGACGTTAACGCGAGATCATTCACGTCACACTACGAAAACACGTATAGAAATGAGATCTTATCGGGATAAAATAAAATAATCTGCCTCTCTCCTAGGTGACATGCGGTCAACCCTGAGTATACCAGCCAACGTGCACGGATCGTACCTGTGTCAATTTGCGAGTCTTGTAGGTAAGAGAGTGCCATTATGAGATCCGTGATGCCAACTTTCCTCACAATCACACTCCATGCACTTCCTCCGCTCCGGCACACTCACTTCCGCGACGGAAAGGGAAGAAAGACGCGGAACAGCACTACATTAACGACGCGGATAAAACAAAAGCCGCGTCGCGACCGCTGTCTTCGATTGTTTTCGTTTCCCCGTCGGAAGAAACAAGCGAGCGCGCTCCACGCGCGAGGGTGATCCGCGCGCTCTCTTTCTCTCAGCCGGCGAATCGTAACGTCGACAGGGATTATCTCGCTCTGGGTTGCGATTTTTTAACAATTTTTTACTATTCTAATCTACAAGCAACCCCGAACGGAAAGATGATAGGCATAACGAATCAACGATGCTTCCATGGGCTGACCTAACCCAATACTAACTGACAGTCCAACCGAGCAGAGGTAGTCAACAATCCCCACCCTTTACGATCTTCCCCCCACGCGAGACCGTTCCCTTCTCCGGCCGCTCGGCACTACCCTCAGAACGCAACCCCGAACGCGCACGCCGTCGTAAAACGCCGCTCCGGTCGCGAGTTGGCACGTGCAGAGGATGAAGCGAGAGAGAGAAACGGACCGAGAGCCGCGTAGAAAGAGCAAGCGCGACGAGGGAGGGGTGAGCCAAGACAGGGTGAACCTGCGACCGTGATCTTTAAGGGTAGGGATTGGCGCGTGTAGAGAGAGAGAGTCCCGAAGGGGGGGGGGGGCGAGAGATGAGAAACGTAAAGAGTGTAAAAGATCCTCTAAAAATGGACGGTTGATCGCGCTGATTCTCTCAAAACTGTGCGCGATTTCAAGTCGTCATTTACGTTCGCTTGCCATTCGCGATAATTGTTTCTCTCGCTCGCTCGTCCCGATTGCATTGCGCTGGTTATCTCGCGCATCCTCTCTTTCATTTCGCGATACAAATATATATGCACGAGCATGTACATTCGTTATTATTCGATGTTTGCTGAACTACACCGCTTTTGCGATATTGACAGTTCCGCGCGCATAGTGGCGCGTTTTTTGCAAAAGTTCGCTGCAGCTGTCAATATTTCAAAAGCGCCCGATACAAATTGCGCGGCGATACGTCGCGTCTGGAGTCTTCCACCGAGCTATCACATCGCGCAAAGGCCGCACAGATCAATGCGTAGAAACGAGTATCATCGGTCGATTTATTTGTAGCGAAAAAATTACAACGATATCGAATAAATATTACATATGAACCGCTTGATTTAACCGAAGAAAAAGAGAATAACGCAAGTCTTTAACAGCCAAGTGGAATAAAAGAGACCGAAAAGGTAGATATTTGCGAAAAAAGCTATCATTTGACTGGCGCGTTAGATTTTCCACGATAACATCGCGACTTCCGGATATGATAAGGCGACGCACAATGCTCCGCACAGAGTCGTCCCGGTTCAGTCGCGATGGGGGAATGCAGGAAACGCGGCGATACCCCCGCGGGTAGGGAAAAGGGAGGAATTAGGAGTGCACGCGTGCTGCTATCTCACCTGCTCGCGCGGCGCGTGCCCGAGAGAGAGAGCTCACAACCGCACCTCCACGCACGCTCGGTCGCGATAAAAAAGTGAAAGAATGGATCCCCGCGCGTAACTCTCTGTGTGTCACGCATGCACGCCCTTCAGAGAGAGGCACGCACACACGCGTGCGCGGCCACATGTCGGCGGGGTACACACACGTGGAGAGAGCTCGCACTCCACCCTGTCAGCCGCCTGTCGTCGCCGTGGAGACAAAGACGGAGCGGGGGTTAGAGAAGGAGAGAGGAAGCGAAGCGGCCGATGGAGGAGAAATAGAAGGAAAAAGGAGCCGACGGGAAATCGTGAAGCGGGATCTGGAGCGATTGTCGAATTAGTGAATCGCCCGGTCCACGAGAGGCGATCCTCTCCCCGTTACCGAAAATATCTTCTCCTTTTTCTCCTCAGTCGCGTTTATTCGCAGATGCGACAGATCAGAACGACGCGCCGAGTTTTGTCGAGCGAACGAAAACTGTTTTTCTCTCCTTGCAAATGCGCAGGGTGTTTTTTCTATGAAATATAATAATTAAAAATAAAACCTCGTGGGAATTTGGATGGAGTTAATGTAAAGTCATGCGACGTTGGTTCTCTCGACAACGATTTTTGGCGAACGATTCCAAGCGAACAGTCGATAGAGTTTGTCGGGAGATCTTTTTTTGCCCGATGAATGTCGGGCATTCTGGGATTTATCGGATGAGGGGTGGCTAAGGGGCGGGATATCCGAAGAGAGTGCACGAGTGCGACGCGCAAGCACTTCCGCATACAAACCTGACAAAATATTGTGAAAAACCGCGCAGGTAAATAACCGAGCTTTATGTGACTCGCAAGGGATGCGCAATGGATGGGAAAAAGATCTTGTTGGACTCGAATATTTTCTGCTGTTACTAGAGCGTGTTAACCATTGAGAGAGACAGTGGTTATTTCCGTATTAATATATATGGCTTTTTATACAATGTAATATCTTTTAAGGCGTATAGAATTTTTATTATTTTTAGTATTTCTAAAATATATATTTTTTATATTTTTAGCATTTTGTGTGTTTAAAGTATAGAAATATCCCGGTGCTTCACATACAAAAAATAGCAATACCCAAGTTAAAATCTTTTTAAAATTTATCTATTTTCTTGTGCAGAAAATTAGAACGAGTCAGATCCATTATTTTCACATTTAGACGTAAGTAATTATTATTTTTGTTATTAAGCGTGTCACGAGTTCGTTATGCATTTTCAATGGGTTAAAGAACTTACCTTTGCACCACGCGCGCGATTCAACACTTGCTTTTGAAATGAAAAGAAGAATCAAAACCACTTTTTTATATTTGCAAGGCTTCATTTGTGATCATGTTTGATTGAATAAATATGTGTTTAAGACGCAAATTGAATTATCCCAGAAAAGTTTTTCGATATTTGAGTAAAGTTACTGTGACCATTCAAAGAAACTCAGCACTTGGAAGCAGGTATCACTCTGACATGATTTTTAAACCCTTCCTACCTACTGAACTACGTTTCACACTGCGGTTTAAAGCAATTTGCACGGCACGCGCAGTGGAAAAGAATACTTCTAACGGATTGTATGGAGCAACATGCCAATAGGCAATTGTTTCATGCATACGAAATTCAACATAACGGCTGATATACATTTAATAAGAGAAATTTATCTCACCATGTATTTACAATGTGCCAGAGAAAATACACTGGATAAACAGCGTTTTATTTAAAAAGGAAAGTACGTGAGGTTTCTAAAGTAGATCCACAAAAAATAGTTTCGTGAAAATAAGGGAAAGGTAGTTAGAAGGACAATCTTATTAAAAGTTAATTTACTGACTTTTTTCGAACGTTATATTGAAACCTTTTTTTCTCAGTCTTTCACCCTTTAGTCTGTTACAAAAATATTGTTGCATAAACATAGAAAAAAAGTATGGAAACTGTTTTATAAAGAAACAGTACAGGTATCCGAAAAAACCGAGTCACTAAAAAAGGATCCGAACCAAAAGCCTGGGTTTCTCGAAAAATGTGTGCCGGTTACCTTCGATGCATTGATAATGGCGACAGAATAATTGTTTATCCATGACGTATTGCTGTGTCCCAGTCAGCATGAAGCGATATAGTAGGTGTATTCACGAACAAAACGTGAGCGAAACTAACAGAGAAAGGTACGGACAATCGACTAAATTGGATGAAACTGGAAATAGCTGAACTGAGGTAGATGGTCAAGATCTAAAATGCTCCACATCAGCGTAAGATAGTTACGTAAGCCAGAAAATTTGGCAGAGCCATAAAATCCGACCTTTTTCCGCATCTGTGTCAAGGACAGTTGAAACATTCTGTGAAAGCTCCTATATCAAATCCTCTGTACTTTTTTGTTAGTGTATTTCATTTCTTTGTTTTACGCGTATAAGGATGCTGTTCAGACTCGGACTCTGAGAAAACGAAACGTTTTGAAAACGACAAGGGACAAGAAAACTGACATATAATATGAACAAAAAGTAACTAAAGTAGAGACCGCGCTGAATTTCGAGACTGTGAACGGGCTGAGTGTAATTCTTTTTTAACTGGTGTAAGATGTACGTTAGTTTTAGCCGAGAGTCTTTAGGAAAATAGAAACGATATTCCAAACAGTTTCCGCGACGTGATCTTTGATACTTTCTAAAAATATCGCTCGCCTTGTTTCAGGCGAGCCGTAAACATACGTCAGTCATCGATAATCTCGATAATCCGAAGCGCGGTACCAAAGCAGCGTGCAGCTCATTATTGCCCGTCAATCCACGAGGATCAACGTTAGTTAACTCGAATAATAACGTTTCGCAATCGAGCTTGGTGTATTAATAGGAGCGCGCACTTGGACATTGAAAAGCAGATTCGAATCATTTTATCACACTGCATCCCCAAGCGGTATTTCCGTAACTTCCTCTTACGACGCGGACTTAAATAGTCCCATTTAAATAATTATCCGAATTCGTGCTTAAACACGCCTTCCTCTCCCCCGATTGAAGCAACTGCCGTTACTTCGTCGGGAAACGGTCGGGAATGTTCTCTTTCTTTTTTTTCCGTTCTTACGTATCTTCTCACGGCGAGAGAGATCGAAATATCGAACCGAACTTTTTCCTCACACAATCACCCACCGTATGCAGAATCGACCGATCTACCCCGGAATCTGACCATTGTGCACGTTGAACCACTTTACATAGAGAGAGAGAGAGAGAGAGAGAGAGAAATCAGCGCCGCGGATCTTGATCTGCAACCGCCGAGCGACTGTTCGTTTTCCGCAACGAAGAGCAGTCGATTCGAAAATCTCCTCGGGTTTTTCGAGCAAATTTTTTCGCCGCTCCCGCGATTGTTCGAATCAGATATTATCAGGGCTGCGCCCGTTCGTATATTTTTTTGATATATTAAGACGCTCTCGTTTCTTTTTCCGTTTTTTCTCTTCTTCCTCACTATGTGTATAACCGAAGAACTTTGTGCGCCAGCGATCGAGAAATCGGCGAAAGAAATTGTCAGCTGTTCCTCCCGAAATTCGTTACCGCAACTATTTCTAGCATTCTATTTTCACGTCATCGAGAGAGTCGGAGAGAGAGAGAATCGTGAGAGCAAACAGGGAACAGGCTTCTGTATGGTAAGTACAAACGGATTCTCGATAGCTAATGTAACGATACGTCGCGTTGGAGCAGTGTCGGCTAGTTCTTTCGCAAAATTCTCAGGGCAAATGATCAAAACAATCGATTAATGGCGGTAATGTGAAGTGCGACCGCGAGTTAGAAAATAACATCGACATGTAGTACCGAACGCAAAATTTCGTTGATCTTTCGTGTGACAGAAAGAGAGAAATAAATGTATCTCTGTTTATTGAGGGCGCGTTCTTACGCGTCGCTAAGATAGAGCGCGCGTTACCGAGCTTATTGCCGAATCTCCTAATTGTCGGGTTCCGATAGCACTTAATGGCCTAGGCTAATAATAGCGGAGCAGTGCCCTCTTTTCTGCATTAATTCGATGC